GAGAGAGAGAGAGAGAGAGAGAGAGAGAGAGAGAGAGAGAGAGAGAGAGAGAGAGAGGTGGCATCAAAGGCTGGGCTGTCCATGAAGCGACTCTGACACGTGCGCTTCATTTCTTTTTTGTGTTATGTCTTCCAGGAAATGCTCGAAGACACCCAGCATGGCCGGCGTTACGGCTCACTTCAAAACACTACTTCAGATGCATGATCGAATGTTCTGTATCGGACTGCAAATGCCAAGCAGATCCATTGTTGAATACTCCATTCATACATTCCAAGCCCTGCTGAAAACCAATGGCACTCTCATAATTGATCGCAAATTCCCTTAACTATCCCCGATCGACTCCTCAATCACACCGTCTCGCCCCAGGGAACTGAGATTTACACACACAGACCGTGTGTGTGTGTGTGTGTGTGTGTGTGTGTGTGAGAGAGAGAGAGAGAGAGAGAGCGAGCGAGAGAGAGAGAGAGAGAGAGAGAGAGAGAGAGAGAGAGAGAGAGAGAGAGAGAGAGGGGTTGTTTTGAGTGGTTTGCTGTGTTACCATTGAAGCCGAAAAAGAAAAACCCAATCGGGCGGAGCCGCACCTGGTCATCTAGTCAGTTTAACAAGCAAGTACTAGTGAGAGAGGATAGCCGTAGACGGCGAGAGCGTGTTGTGTTGTGTAGAGGTGTAGAGGTGTAGACGCCTTGGCGGCGCGCAGCACTGGTGCATTGCTTCGAAGATGCCTAAACGCACGACTCACACGTACTCCAGTGAGGATGCAAATCCGGAGGGTCCAAATTCAGAGTTGTTCGTCTACTATTGCAAGCACTGCTGCGCGCACGTTCTCATCATGGGTAAGCAGACGACTCTGCTTTTGAATTCCTCGGTCGTGATTGTTCTCCTCCATAATAATCCCGTTCCGTTCTTGACTCCCAGTCTTCAGAAGAGGGAGTGGTCCTGCTCTCTTTCTGTCCATCGTATTGTGCTGGAAATTCAACACCTTTCCCTTTACGTGATTGTTCGATGTCTCTTTCCTCTGACACCTTTTTTTTTTTTTTTTTTTGTGTGTGTGTGTGTGTG